AAATTCGGTTGAAATTGGTTCAGCGATTTCAGAGAAGCTGGAAATGTTCAAATGTCAGCGCACGACGCACATCGCACGACGAACGCCGACAGACAAAAACGGCTAGCAATAGGTCACCTTAATGACTCAAGTGTCCTAAAAACAAAAAGTAAAAATAAAATGTGCATAAGTTCTATTTGAATCTACAAAAAAAAAAAAAAAAAAAAAAAAAAAAAAAAGAAAGAAAACTGAAACAATCAAACAGTATTTCATGAAAAGAGGTGGATGGTTTACCTGTGAAATCCAAAAATCCAGTCGAAGAGTTATCTTTTTTTTTTATTTTACCTGTACACGAATATCTTCGAAATAGTTTTACAAAAATATTTTATCAGCATGCAAGCGTGTAATGCTAGATATCGAAGGAAGTACTGATTATATGTGAATAGATTTTTTGTAGATAAATTATTACAATTGATTTTTGTGAATTCAGGGTACTGCTTAAGAGAGATATACCTACTGATATCATTCAACTTCTATCATATATTGCGGATGACTAGTAAATGGTCAAAAAAAAGTAAAAAGAGTTTGTATACGGAAATTCCTACTGTGTTTCAGATATGTACAAATTAGTTTATAATCAATGTTCATGAAACGTTTTTTGTAAATACAATCCCTTTTCTTAACTGAGTGTATCAGGTGATGTCGTAAAGAGATCCAATTACAATTTAACGGGTATTTTTCCAAAATTCGGGATATATGCTTTGTTGTGAAAGGGGTGTATCCTGTAAGCAATATGATGGTGGTTGAGGATTTCTTTGTTTTTTTTTTTAAATTATGAATATAATTCGATGAAAAGCATATGCTTACAGAAGTAACATTTATTCATGTAGAATCAATTAAGTGAGTTACACACTATCTTGTTTCTGGTGAAATATCCAAACAGTGTCAAACACTAGGATAGAGCTTTGTTTTATTGTCACCTTTCTATTACTGTTAATTATCTATTTGAAGTATGCATATATTGTATATGAATAAAGTCATTTGTTTTTCAAGATATTGACCAAAAAAAAAAAAAAAGAAAAAAAAATTAATGAGTAAAATAAGATATCCGGCCATATTCCCTTCGCCTCGAGAGGATACATTCCGATTAAAACAGAGTATACATCCCGAAAATGTAAAATTATGTCCCGTTAATTGTCGTTGTAAAGTGGTGAATTTTCTCATGACAGAATCTGATCTTTTCGGACCAAAATGACATTTTGTACGGAAGTCAGACATATTGTGAGGAGGAGATCCTCATAAAAGCATTACTGATTGAATTATCTATAAGTTAAAATTGGCCTAAAAATTTAATCTTTTCTGAAATTAACACGCCTGCTGTCCTCATTTACATGCAAAATTATACATACAACATATCTACTATATCTTTCAAAAATTAGCATCCATTAATAAAGTGATGTGTGAAAAAATTATTTTAAATAAGAAAACCAGTTCTTGGCACCAGGATCCGGTTGTATCAATAGCCTAATTAATAAATGATTAAAGCATCAGTAAACTAATCATATTTAATATGTCATTAAATTCCGTTGTATCATTGTTTTAATGAACGAATCGGTGCATTAAATCACAATAGTAATCCCAACTGTTATCCAATGAATCCAAGATAGACATTGTTAACTATGTGACATCATTTCTTTTGTCATTATCTATGAGATGAATAGGCCTACGTAACATGTGATATTTTGAAAAAGAGGTGTTTAAACAGTAAAACAATAAATAGATAAATACAGCTGGTTATAGCTTCCTAATATTAGGTCTAAAGTAGGGATGTCAAAATATTTATTTTCCTTAGTCGAACATTCGATTGCATTATACGAACGATTGTCGACTATTCGGACCATCAAAATGTGTATATTACACACAGATATTCAGAGGCACCTAACGTAGGGATAACGTAGGGATAATGTTTTGAAATGAAATTTATATACACCGGCTATTCTCCAAAATGTATGATCATTATGACTTCCCGTAAATCACATTCATAAATTGGTCTGTACAGTCAGTTTTTATTCTAGTAAGCTTAGAGAATTGTCAGCATCGTATTTTTAAAGCTTATAAAATAAACTGGGGGAGGGGTAAACACACACTATCCACACGTCAGGTGATATTGTTGAATATTGTTTGTTCAATTAATGATTGCCCCTGCTATCAAAATGTCATTACAATGTTAGATTATTGTTTTGATAATTATCGAAGTTTCAGAACTTCACGGCTATGGTGTATCTCTAGCGTTTAAACATCCTTAGAAGTAATAACATATAATTGATACAATGGTTTGAGATCAATTCCAATTAAAAATTTTACAAACAAAGTTGCATAATTCATTACAAAAACTAAAAGGTCAGTCATTGAGAAATGATTATCACTGTAGGGAAGCATTTATAATTACGGTACTTTCTATATGCACATTGAAAGTCAACAGATTTTGCTGTGGAAAATTATTTTTCAACTGTGATTGCGTTTGAGCTCTTAATCGTCTGAGGACGTTTATTATATGGTTTGAGGAAGGACGCTTTTTCAATTTTCAGACGATAATTCCTTCTCTTTATCGCCCCCTTTTCTTACATTTCTTTGATATTCGAATGTCATTCCATTATTCGATCGTCGGTTCATTCGACTGACGGTCGAATGGTCGACTATTCGTTGACATCCCTAGTCTAAAGGTATCAATGAAATCACAAATATACGTTTTTGATCTATACACTGTAACAGCTAACCCCCCTTCCCCCATCTTTCCGCCCATTTTTAAAAAAAATCCTTTCCGAGATACTTTAAATAACGGTATAAAATGTTTATCCATGCATTGCTATAGTTATGAATTATTCATTGCATTGAGAAAGATATATTTTGAGTAGAATGAGAGGGCTTCAAACCTTCCTTAAAAAAAATCAAAGGACTGCGAACGATAGTATTGTTCTCCCGCCTACATGTACCTCCAAGTCAATTTTCAAAAGTTATCATATTTGAATGATTTTTCATACTTATATAGATATTTATATGAATTTTCATAAAACATTACTTATTTGGGAAAACAAAGAGAGGTAACTCTATAATTTTGGTAAAACTTGTGTTTTTCACTATAGAAATCAACGGAAAACGGAAAATATTTTTAAAACATCTTCCCCCCCCCCCCGTGAAACAAAAATTCCTTTTTATAGGTAATATGGATTGTTATTTTACAAATTCATACCAAAGTTTTTTGTGTTTTACGGGGGGGGGGGGGAACATATGTTTACAGACGAAAAACTACAAAACTGCTTATTTTTCACCAATTTCGAAGGGGTTTACAACTTAAACGTTGTATTTTATTAATTACATATGCTTTATTTTATATGTGTAAAACATATGGAAAGATTTAAAGAACATTTATCCATATCCAAGAAAATTTTAAAATATGCTGATGCTTTCAAGCCTGATTTCAATGGAAAACATTGTCTACCCCCCTTATAAAAAGAGCTGGAATTAAGAGTAATTAACTATTTAGCACTGGTATTAAAATTATTAATCAATTACCATTGAACTCCTCTTTGCATTCAACAAAGATTTTATGGCCGAATTGCCATTAGTATTGAATTAAATGGGTGTAAAATGTAGGCGGGAATCGAGAGTTAGCGTGCGTAGTTCTTTATGCCTTTATGTGATTTTTTTTTTATCATGCTTACCGACCTTTTATAAACATGTAATAGTACATTTTTTTTCTTAGACCCAAACCAAAATTGAAAGATTTAGTTATCGATGTCTCATCATGCATTTTGTTGGATGTTATTTTATAAATAAACGTATTTTTAAATCAGTTATCTAAAAATCTAACCTGTGCCTGCAGCTAGAAAATTGTGGAAAAGATACAAGTAAATTGATGCAGGAGAAAAAAGGCTCGTAGGGAGCAATTTCGGGGGGGGGGGGGGGGCACTTTCATACACTTTCAGTTAGGGGGTACTACCGACTACTAAAAATTACTTGACAAGCAAAAAAAAACACAAAAAGGCGGTGGTCGGACATCAGACGTTTTTATTCAGGGGGCACAAGCATTTAGTAGCTATGTTTTCTATAGTATTCTAAATATCGGCATATTGCCCCCCCCCTCCCACCCCTCCCCGGTTCCTTCGGTCATGAAAATGCAGAAAATAATTACATGTACATATATGTATTTTTTTTTTCAGAAAAAGGTAAACGTGATTCCAGTTTGCGCTGTGAAACTCTCTCCCGTATATTTTTCTATTTCTCGTTTGTAGCATTGCTCGTGACTTTGCTATTAATGATATTGAATTTTTTCTCTATTCGTTTGGTTAGAAATGAGTTATATTTTGCTAGAACCCCCCCCCCCCCCCCCCCCACACACACATACTCATACCGATTTCTATTAGATTTGATCTGAAGAATCCTCTCGCGGTCATTGAAGCACAAACTTTGATGAAATGTCGTTTCTTTATATTATTTCTTTCAAGGCGCTCATAAACTTAATTAGTTTAATGACATAATTTATTTTTGTGTCATATTTAAAAACAACAACCATTTGGCGGATTTTGAAATTGGTTTTATTACAGCTAATTTAATAGATAATTGTTACACATAGGAAATGCCCACGGAACCCCCCTCCACTTCCGGAAATGGTAACGCAATGCATTGCGGGATATTCTTCTAATGTTAATAAATCTTAAATGAATTCTTAAATGTTTAATGATTCATTAACTAATAAGACTCTAATAAAGGTTTTGTACAACACAGTTAATGCCTTCATTAACTAATGTATTTTTAAGAATTTAATGATTCATTAGGCTGAATAACTCATTAAATTTAATAAACCGTTGATGCAACCGAATCCAGCAGTCAATTTAAAAAAAAACATGCATTGAAACATATTCATTAGAAAGTTAAAGCAAAAATATAAAAGAATTGTCAAAATAAATTCTGCCAAGATATTTACAAGATGATGATGATTACATCAAAATAGAACCAATAAATTTAAAAAAAAAAACAAAAAAAAAAACATACGCTTTACTTTTCACGTCTCAAGAAGAGTTTGTTTAAACTACATCATCCTTTCCAGTTTGACAGCAAATCATACAAGCGAAAACAACTGCTAGAAGCTGCAAGAAAAGAGAAATCAAATTTTATAACAGATAAGTGTTGCTTAAAATGTTCACATACTGACTGAAAAATAAACGTAACGTTATTTGAGATATGTATATAAAATATGATAAGTAATTTGTAAAGATTATATATGACTTCAATGTTTTAGAGGTCCGTGCTTGCTCTTCTCACAATCTGTATTGTTTCAATGAACTTTAAAGCATTATTACTATCTGTTAACTTCATATTTCATTCATAATGTACCTCAAATTTCAGTTATTGTGTCTGATCTTAAAGATTTTTATTAATGTGATATAATTAATAGAAATCTGAAAATACATCCGAAAAAACATGCATCAAAGTTTACAAAAATTATATTTGAATAGCACTACCTCAATTAATAGGATGGTTATTCCGACTCCGATAAACACATTCCCGTATGTCGAAATCTGATCTTGCAGAGCATCGTAACATCCCTTGGTAAGAACGTTCAATATTAATTTAATTTCAGGAATAAAATGAAAATTAAGGCGTGTGAAATCTATTTTTTAAACATGAAATTATGTGAATAAATCCTGGTTAGTTTACATGTGTAACGAAACTTTTATATTTTAAAGACGGCAAAGAAGTTCTATTTCATTTAACATTGCCTCACATAAACTTAAAAGTAAACGATAATACAGTGGTCTTGCGTTAGAACGATTAAAAGCTTGTCTCAGAGAAAACCAGGCAAAATCGAATAAAGTAATCCACAAGGAGGTCTAAACTTTTTCTAAAAACTGTTTTTTTCTTATAAATATTATGTGCATCCTTAGTGGGAAAACATTTAAAAAAACAACTCTGGACTAGTTTTTTTTTTTTTTTTTTTTTTTTTTTTTTTTTTTTAGAGAATCATGCAATATTTTTCAAATCTGCTTGGCCAATAGCTAAAAACTTATCTGACATTTAGGTGAAATCTAAATATTGACATTTAAATGGTCGAATTGTTGTTTGCTAATAAGACATAAATCTAAAACCAGCGAAAACAGTTTATTTGAATAAATTTGATAGAAATGGTATATTAATCGGGACTAATCGATTTATCACATTAAGATAAATAATTTTGGGAAAAACTTTCAAATTTGTTTTCATTCAAGATATAATATTTTTTTAAAAATTGCTTTTAAAACCTTAATTAGGACGCACTTTAAAAGTTCAAGCTTGGAAAATGAATAGATGAAATACATATATATTGGTGACATACACGGATTTTGGTAAATTTCAAATAAAAGGACTATATTCGGTAATAACCAATATTTGCCACAAATATCAAACTTTGACGGAGAAAGTGTAATTATGTTCAAAAACAGGCGGATATCTGCAGACTTCAAGGGATTAAAAAATTTCATTAGCCATGACACCATGTTAGATATGACCTCAGGAAAATGGCGTAAATTCAAAATTTTCATGATTTATAGAGAAAAAGGAGTATATTAAGTAGCTATTTGGAGTAAAAGTCACCAAGCGCAGGTCTGTTCCAACTCAGTGTTTTGATATAACGTGCAGAATGATATTATCATTAAAATACGTGAATATTGTTTTGGAGCAGGTCTAAGTTCTATAAAATTTATAGTAAAAATTAAACAAGTATTGTCCAATTTGTCCCTGTTTTGAAAAACAGAGCATTCCCTGCCGACCGGTCACACCCGCCGTGTGCTCACATAAATATAATAAAAATTAAAGCGATAAACTTTTATAATAAAATCTTTCTGCAACAGTAGAACGAGTTACTGCCCCTTCGCGAGCCCATCTGTAATATACAATACATATAAGGGTTAATTCCAGTTTTAAAATGACAGCCTCCTGTTGTGCTTTGTAAACCTTACACTTTGAAACATTTTTTTGTGGAAAATTATTAACCATTTTCTGTAAGCATTTGAACTCTTATGTAGGGAGTGTGGCACACTAGATCTTGAATTTTTATGAAATTGGCACACATTCCTATATTGATGTATAAAACTAAAATTCATAACAAAATGATTGCTATGGTCAATGGTTATCATGGCAACCAACATACATTTTCGTGGCCTAAAAAACGTTGAATTGTGATGAAAAATGACCCATTTTTACTAATTAAAGGTCTTTAATAGAACAAGATATTTACACGACTTTATCTTTTTGACAAAATACATCATCTTCATAGTTCATTAGGCAATTTCTAGTATTTGAATAACTTTACCTCATAGAAAAAATATCCCCCATTTTTAAGTAGAATTTTTCTGGGGAAAAATTGTAGATTTTAGGCTCTTTTGAATAGCCTGGTATAAAATTTTGCGGACATTTTGGAAAAAAATAAATACGTACATTGGTTTGAAAGTCAATGTATAGTTCTAATATAAATTGTAAAGAAACAATTCGTATTCATATTTTGTTTTCATGTTAACATGATTACAAACTTATGCTTTTTTAAAGAATTCCAGACAAGGACAATAGGTATCTTTAATCAGTATTTATATCAATACCTAAGAATTTCAAAATGGATTAAAACCAAATTTTATAATTTAATTAAATTTTATAATACACAATAGCCAAAACAAAGAGAAAAATAAATTTTCATGACAAAAGGTCAAAGGGCAATGTCAAAATGACTCGATTTAGATGAAAATTTAAGGAAACGAAGCACATTTTTTTTTTCTGTGTCATAACTAATACTCGTATTTTACACAACATTATATGAATAAACAAAATTACAGTTCTGTTGAACAATAACTAGCATCACATGAATTGGTAGATACGGATAGATGGTCAAAGTTCACGGTCATAATGCTATATAAAATTTGCCTTTTTGTCCTCCGCTTTAACTGAAAGTGGGGGATATTAATTTGGGTCTGTCCATCCGTCCGTCAGTTAGACTTTCTGTAACACTTTCGTTTCGGCATGATGTCCCGAAAAGCCTTTGAGCCTCTGCAATGTAATTTTACATAACAACTCCTTTTGTCCAAAGGAAGAACTCCATTGATTTCAAGGGTAAAGGTCAAGGTTGTGAATTCATAAATTCTGTCTGTTTTAACACATTATTTCCGCGTGATATCTCGGAAAGCCGTCGAGCTTTCGCAATGAAAATATATACCACAACTCCCTATGGCCCAAAAAAGATCCCTATTGATTTCGAGGTGAAAAGGTTAAAGGTCAAGGTAAAAAATTTATACATTGTCTTTGTGTGTAAATTTTTCATTTCCGAGCGATATCTCAAAAAGCTTTTAAGCTTTTGCAATGAAATTTTGAATCATAACTCCCTATGCCCCCCCCCCTCCTCTTAAAGTGTCCCGTCTCCCCACCCTCAACCCGACCCCCACCCTCTAGATCCGTACATGCTCTTCTTTTTTCCTTAAGCAGGGGACACAGATTCTCTGAATTAGCTTGTCAATATAGCATTTATACTCGGATATTGTGAATTTCGTATCCTGTTTAATAAACAATGTATTTTACTGAAACTGGTATTACATTCTCACCTTTAGCTTAATGCATAATTTGAAAAATCTATGAGAATGTTCTTTTAAAGTCATTTATAAAGAATCAAAGTAACCAAGTCAAAATATTGAAAGCCTTACACTTACCATATTGAGAATTGTGCTACATGCATGTAAATACACTTTTTTATGTTTTTTGTAGACTACGTCCATCTTCTAAAATGTACATTTTTTACCCTATTTAACACCGCGGACTTTTTCAGTGACAGTCAAAATGTTTTTCCTGTGACTTATATTTATAGCAAAACCTATCATGTGAAAACATTCATTGTATAATAATTATAAATTATGAATGACATAAATCCTCTTTAAAACTGCATAATATGACTGCGTTGACTATGGATTAAGGAACGACCATTTGAAGAGAGGGCAAATTTTTCCAAGTCAGATTACTTATTTTCATGGAAGTGAAGGACAGGTTATGTACTTTCTGATTCACTGAAAAAGTCTGAAGAGCCAAAAAAAAAAAAAAAAAAAAAAAAAAAAAAAAAAAAGAAAGAAAGAAAAAAAAATAAAAAAACTATCGTAGAAGGGGGGATGCACAAGTTTCGGTAGTAATTTTTTAACCCATAATATAATGATAATACTTATTATACTATGGGTTAAAAAATTATTACCGAAAGAAGTGCCTGCGGTTGGATGTAGGGGTTGTGCACTTATAAAGGATAGATTATTTATTTTCCTGTCAGGCCTATTAATTAGTATGAAAAAAGTCAGTCAGCATTTGACTTAATGAAAGATTGTATTTGCTGACAAGGTCATTGTATCGACCATAGATCTTAAGAAATGATGACTTTAAACGAGACTCCTGATATTCTTGTTTCATAAACACAACATGCTCTGACATATCGAATCAACTGAGAGATATAAGCCCCGTATGCAGGTGATTAGGGTATATTGCTGCATAAGTAAGGGAAGTTGACGATTGAAAAGTAAGTCATCACGTTTATCATACAGCTTGCTTCTTAGATTGCTATTAACGTCTTCTTCTAATAAAATATACAAATATGAAACAGATGTGTCAGACTCTATGGTGTCTTTTATCTCAAGCTCACCGGGATATATCGTGTCGACATAGGAATGGAAATAACCATTGTTAATTGACAATACGTCGTCGATATATCTAAATGTCAAGTTGAAGGCCACAGCAAGTTTTTTCTTCTTTTCACGTAAAAAAATTGAACAAATTGTGCATCATATGAATACAAAAATAGGTCTTCTAATAAGGGAACGCAATTGATACCAATGGGAATTCCAATAGATTATTGGAAGACCTGATCTCAAAAAACCACATAGCTATTGTCAATCATAAACTCGAGCATCTTTTTAATATCAACCTCAGAGGACTTGTGTGTACAATCAGATTGTTTTTTTTAACGAAGTAATTTTGCAAATGACAAATGACAAGGACTTTAATTTATCGTGGGGGAAGACACATCTGTTTCATAATTGGATATTTTACTTGAAAAAGACGTTGATGGTAATCTAACAACCAAACTTTATGATAAACGTGATGACTTTAACTTTTCAATCATCAACTTCCCTTACTTATGCAGCAATATACTTTCATCATCTGCCTACGGGGTTTACATCTCCCAGTTGATTCAAGAGCATGCTGTACGTATGTACAATTTCTAAAACGAGGTAAATTATTGACAAACATGTTGATGAAACAAGAATATCAGCAATCTCGTTTAAAGTCATCATTTCGTAAGTTCTATGGTCGATACAATGAACTTGTCAGCAAATACAATTTATCACTGACGTTTTTCATAATAATTGTTAGGCCATTATTTACACACCGAATTGTCGACGGATTTTTTCCGTTATTTCCCGATCATTAAAAGGAGCACACGGCGGGTGTGACAGGTCGGCAGGGGATGCTAATTCCTCCATGGCACCTGATTCACCTCTGATATTTTGGAGGTCCGTGTTTGCTCTGCTCCTATTTTGTATTGTTTAATGTACTTGAGGTTGAATACTGTCCGTTATCTCCATATATTTCATTGTATATAACGTTGAAAAGTCGTAAGTTTTTAAGTTGTTGATTTTGGTAAAAGATTTTGATTTCAAATCTTCCAAAAGTTCCTTGGAATTTTTAGTACCCACATCTGATTTACACCACTTCTCGAATATGTTGTTGCACAGTACTCTTGAAGTTTCTTCTTCACTACTGTTAATATCTTTGTGAGGAGTAAAGAAAGAGGCTTGGTAGAACATTTACTGGAACCCACTATGTATCTTTGTTTGTAAGGACTTTTTGAAGTTTCGGAATCCAATATAAATATGGTAATTTAAATTTATTTCGATTGTTGGGAATAATAAAAATATTCAAAACTGACATATGATTTTGAAAAAATTCCCTCCTTAGAAAGGGAGCTATGGGTATAACTTGGATTACTACTTGTTGAATTAAACCCCAGTTCCTCTAAAATACAATTTATATAATGAGCCTTACAAACAAAGACAATGTATGTACGGGACCAGTACATACTGATCGTGTAATATATATAATTCTTTTTTCATATCTTTATATTTAGATCTTTTTTTTAACTCTTAGGCAAAATTTACTAAATATGCCATTTATGGACAGTCCATGGGGGGAGGGGGTGTCGAAAAATGCCATTGTTAAATTTTTGGGGTTAGATATGACATAATTTCATTGCATTGACTCAGATTTTTCCATTCTTCTTCTTAAATTATGGTAATTGTCATGAAAATTATGACCTCAGATCACATTGGAGGTCTGACAGAAAAAGAATAGATGGCGCTTCATAGGACCCCTGAAACATAGATATCAGCAAAATATTTTTTATTTGGAATTTATGTGTCTAGTATCATAATGATACTTGTGCAAGAAAATCTACGTTTTGGCTGCAAAAAGGCTTTTTCAAGTTTTGGATGATTTTTTTCTGAGACAAGCTTTTAAGACATTAGAAATAAATACCTTTGTATTATATCCAATGGTGCCTCGAACACATGGAGAACTGCTGGTAAATAAAACATAACTATCAGAATCAGTCCCTTTGCAGCATGTTCTGGGTATCTTGGCAGTTGCTCGTTTGCCAGTTGTGTGCCATGGAGTGCTATCAAAGTCGGTTTTTGTATTGTTCACAGCACAACAATCTAACTTTTGAATACAAAAGGGATAAAAGATAAATATATACATTGGGTATTTGAAGATGATTTTAGTAAAACTATGAACAGATATGTTCTTCTAAAAATTTAATATATTTTTATTTACAAGATGTGTTTGTGAAACACTGATGCCCCCGTATGGCAACTTATAGCGAAGGTGAAACTTTCTGAAATGCAAGTCAAATATGTTGGTACTCAAAGTAAGGTCCTTTTCGAGGAAAATACCTGTGAAATATGAAAGCCCTCGCAGCAACCATTGAAAAGATATGTAAAAGATTTTCAAAAGAAAGTCAAACATCAAGGTCAAAATCAAATGATCAAAATAAATGGTGCCCTAGGAAAGGTCTTCTCTTAAGAAATACACATGTGAAATATGAAAGCCCAAGCACCAACCGTTCAAAAGTTATGACCAAGGTTAATTATTTTTCAAAGTAGGCCAAACTCCAAGATCAAAGGATCAAAGTTGGTTGTATTCAAATGAAATATATGAAGATAACGAACAGTATTCAATCTCGAAAGTCCATTGAAACAATATACGATTTTCATAAAGCTTTGGTGTTAGGTTACCTATACCTTCTTTTTTTTAGTACATATCTAAATATGAAACAGATGTGTCAGACCCTGTTGTATCGTTTATTTCAAGCTCACTTGGATATATCGAGTCGACAAATGAATAACAGTAACTATTGTTAATTGATAATACGTCGTCGATATATGTAAATGTTGAGTTGAAGGCCACAGCAAGTGTTTTCTTCTTCTCATGTAGAAGTTTTTGAATAAATTCTGCTTCATATGAATATAAAAATAGGTCTGCTAATAATGGGGTGCAATTGGTATCCATGGAAATTCCAACAGATTTTTGGAATACCTGATCTCCAAAAACTACATAGAAATTGTCAATCATAAACTCAAGCATCTTTTTAATATCAACTTCAAAGTACTTGTGTGAACATGAATGTTTCATAACAAGTAAGGTCTTGTCACAACAATAACATATGTGAAGTATGAAAGCCCTAGCATCAACTGGTCAAAAATTACGGCCAAGGTTAAAGTTTAACAAAAGTAAGTCAAACCCTCAGGTCAAACTCAAGAGGTCAAAGTTGTTGGTATTCAAAATAAGGTCATTCACAAGGATTCCACATTTTAAGTATGAAAGCCCTAACACCAACTGTTCAAAACTTATGGCAAAGGATAAAGTTGTGTAAATTTTCAAGACTCAAACTCTAAGGTCAAAAGGTAAAATATGATGGTACCCTAAGAAAGGTCTGGTCACAAGGAGTACACATGTTTATATGAAATATGAAAACCATAGCAATAACTATTCAAAAGTGATGGGCAATGTTAAAGATTCTGAGGAAAAACAGACAGACAGATGGACGTACAGGGCACTCTCTCTCTCTCTATATATATACATGTGTATATATATATATACGAGGGTTGTCCAAAAAGTTCGTGGACAATGGCGTTTTTGTCAAAATGAATGGTTCAAGATATGCTTATTGTATACCAAAATATTAGTCATGAAAATCCAAGTCGGAATAGTTTGGTTTTTATTGTTTGAACTTAATATTTTTGTAAAAATCTCAGTCATTAAAGGTCGCCGATAGTGTGCACGGACCAGGGTTAAAATGCCAAGAACTTTTAAATAAAGTAATCTGATCGAAATGATTATTTTCTTTTTAAAACGAGTCAAAGCTGAATAAAAAATTAATATATCTCAAATAAAGCGGTTATCGCTATGAAGAGAATCGATAGGTTATCCACCAGATCTCCTAATTTAAAACTAGTCACGGTGACTGCATTCAGTGCAGGCTTTACGTCATCACTTATTGCGGAAACATTAACTTTCATCAAAATCCCTACTATGAAAAGTCCAAGTCCTAGCAGCTGCAATAGAGCAAATTCAGTAGGTTCATGTTCATAGAACTTACAAGAATATTTCAAGAAGAAAAGTAAATTTTGAAAAAAATACTACCGAAGCAATTTAAATTTCATTTATCCTGAAAATGATTGTTAATGCATATTCTTTGTAATCGTTTTTAACTCTTAGCTATGTTTTTAATTTAAAAAAAAATATTTTTTATGGATTCGTTAGAAAAAAATATTTTGTTGTGAAAACTGCAAGAACTCGTGTGAGGAATGATTTCAGGGAGCTTAAATCTTAAATCAATGTGTCACGTCTTATGTCTTCACCAACTGGAGAGGCCATATCAGGTTTTTGATGGCACCTTTGTCTGTACATCGGTCTTTTTAGCTGTCTGTATCTCTTAGAGCCTGCCCTGGTTATAATTCTCTAACATTATGGAGAATTTGATTAAAATTAAAGTATGTGTTTCCAATAACATGGTCCAGTAGTTCATATCTAAAAGGACAAAGTATCTGGGCAATAAAATAGTAAAAAAAAAAGTTTCTGACCATGAATAATAGGTTGGAAAATAGACCCAAACCTTTGCAAGTTATAAGCAATGACCAATAGGTAAATGATGTTCTTGCATAATATCTATATTTGAAAGGTCAAAGTCGCTTATCGATATTTAGGTCACCTGAGTCACTCAGGTGACCCATTGCTATCCGTTTTTGGTCCGTCGTCGTGCGTCGTGCGTCGTCCGTCGTCCATCGTGCGTCGTGCGTTAACATTTAAACATTTTCAGCTTCTTCTCTGAAACCGCTCAACCAATTTCAACCAATTTTGGCATATAGCATCTATGGGTGAAGGGGGACAAAAATTGTGAATTTCATGGTTCCTGCCCCCCTGGGGCCTGAGGGGTGGGGCTAAAACCACCAAAATTAATGCAATCTTTAAAAATCTTCTTCTTTACTCCTGGACATCAAGCAGTCAAACTGTTGACATGATTGTAATAAGCATTGAGCCCTCTACCTAAATTGTGAAATTCATGGCCCCGGGGTCAGGGGTTCTGGTGCTAGGACGGGGCTATATAGATCATATAGTGAAAGTGCATTATTTCTTTGAAAATCTTCTTCTCTACTCCTGGGTATTATTGAAACAAATTGAATACATAGTTATGATAAGCAAGAGTGACTCTGCCAAAATTGTGAAATTCATGGCCCCAGGGTCAGGGGTTCTGGTGCTAGGGCGGGGCTATATAGATCATATAGTGAAAGTGCATTATTTCTTTGAAAATCTTCTTCTCAGCTCCTGGGTATTATTGAAACAAATTGAATACATTGTTATGATAAGCAAGAGTGACTCTACCAAAATTGTGAAATTCATGGCCCCAGGGTCAGGGGTTCTGGTGCTAGGGCGGGGCTATACAGATCATATAGTGAAAGTGCATTATTTCTTTGAAAATCTTCTTCTCTACTCCTGGGTATTATTGAAACAAATGAAATACATTGTTATGATATGCAAGGGTGACTCTACCAAAATTGTGAAATTCATGGCCCCAGGGTCAGGGGTTCTGGTGCTAGGGCGGGGCTATATAGATCATATAGTGAAAGTGCATTATTTCTTTGAAAATCTTCTTCTCTACTCCTGGGTACTATTGAAACAAATTGAATACATAGTTATGATAAGCAAGAGTGACTCTACCAAAATTGTGAAATTCATGGCCCCAGGGTCAGGGGTTCTTGTGCTAGGGCGGGGCTATATAGATCATATAGTGAAAGTGCATTATTTCTTTGAAAATCTTCTTCTCTACTCCTGGGTATAATTGAAACAAATTAAATACATAGTTATGATAAGCATGGATGCCTCTTCCAAAATTGTGAATTTCATGGACCCTGGATCAGGGGTTCTGGTGTTAGGGTGGGGCTCTATTTATTATATAGTGAAAATGCATTAATGCTTTAAAAATCTTCTTCTCTGCTCCTTGGCATTATTTAAACAAATTAAGTACATTGTTATGATAAGCAAGGATGCCTATTCCAAAATTGTAAAATTCATGGCCCCAGGGACAGGGGTTCTGGTGCTAGGGTGGGGCCATATAGATCCTATAGTGAAGGTGAATTATTTCTTTAAAACTCTTCTTCTCTGCCCCTGGGTATCATTTAAACAAACTAATTACATTGTTATGATATGCAAGGATGCCTCTTCCAAACTTGTGCATTTCATGGCCCCAGGGTCAAGGGTTCTGGTGAAAAAGGGGGGGGGGGGGCGGCTCTATTGATTATATAGTGAAAAAGCAATTTTTTCTGAAAACATTCTTTTCTGCTTCTGGTTAAAAAGCAAAGAAGCTAGTGTATAGTTATGATGAGCAAGAGTGCTTCTTCCAGAGTAGTGAATTGCATGACCCCTGGGTCAGATGTGCTGGTGCAAGGGTGGGGCTCTTGATAATATAGTGAAAATGCATTATTTCTATTAAATAATCCTGTCTGCTCCTCAGTGTTAAGCAGATAAACAAAGTGATTACTTATGATGTGCAAACTTCTGGTCCCAGGGTGAGAGGCTCTGATGTTTCTCGATGGAAGGGGGGGGGGGTTGGGTTCTATTGATAATATAGTGAATCTGTAGTAAAAATGCATTATTTCTTTAAAAATCTTCTCTGCACCTGGGCATATCAGAGGCAAAAAGAGTAAAAGTTTTAATAAGGAAGGGTATTTTTACCAGATATTTGAACAGCTGGACCATTTAGTCAAGTGTTCTGGTCCTAGCTAGGGCACTATTAATTTGTAATCTACTGAGAGGAGTTATTCCCCTTTGCCATATTTAATTAATATGGCAAATTTTAATTAATCACTGTAAATAATGTACTTGAAAGGTTAATAGAATAAGAGAATTATGCAAGAAGTTTTATTGTATAATACAAAAAGTACTTTCATAGTTTTAATGATCAGGTAGACTTGTAAGTAATAGATAAATAAAAATGAGACAAAAATAACTTGTCTTATTAAATGTTCATCAAAGATCAAGAGAGGCCAATGTAAGAGATTTCAGCAAGGAATTAAGATGGTACAGTGATATTTTGTTAATTTACTGTATGGTGAAAGTGTTAAATAAGGAACAGATTAGAACCTAATTTATGAACTGTGAATGAATGCTAGACTAATTATTTTTTTTTATCCTGATCACTCTATTTTTCTTGCTTTTGGGCAACAAAGCTTCACCTTTCAGTTCATTTTATACTCTATGGATCCTCTAAATTGTTGTATTATACTCAGGTGACCGTTAAGGCCCTTGGGCCTCTTGTTTGCATCTAATATTTAATAGTAAAATCTTGCTTTGGCAAAAACTTCAGGATTCTTGAGTGCAATGAATCAAAACTCAAATATGTAACTGTTCATAAACAACAGCTGCGTTGAACTAGTCCGCGGCAATCGTAATGGAACAAAATATGTTTTCAAGTCCTTTTTAGAGAAAAAAAAAGCTACATTATTTACACGTTTTTAATCAATTAAAAAATATTGATATTATTCATCTTACTTTATTTATTCATACATGAAACTGATATTTATTATAATACCCAGGTGACCTCAATGAAATTGTATCACAAACCATTGTTAAAATTCTCTTATCTCCGTAATAAAAAAAAAAAAAAACCAAATGTATATTTGTTTTGGTTTCTAATAACGCAACTATGCATTATCATTCTCTTTCAGTCTGTCACAAATTGTCTTTTGGTCCTTAATATTGACTGGAATTGGTACATTATTACTCATACAGCATAATCTAAAATTCTTTTTATATTTTTTTTATTCATGATCATATCTTTAAGTTAAGTGTTATGGTAAAATGAAATCGTAAAAAGGTGTGCAAATTACATTTCCTTAACAATTCATAAAAATGATTTTGAACCAAAGAAAAATGTCTTTGATAAAGTAACTGATCAAAAAGATCTCTTTATGTTGATGATGTATATGAATCAACCTTATTCTAAATTATGGCTGTCCAGTACTTGTCATCATACATGCATTTGCTTTTTCTATATAAAGGATTGCTAAAAAATATTCTATTGAAGTTCTTCCCCTTTTGATGTTTCTTTCTTTAAAAAAATGTTTATCAATCCTCTATGACATAGAATGGACTTAAATCTGTATTGATTACATTATCAAACAGTTGTGTCTTATCTACCCTGAACAGGCAAAATAAACAAAGAATAAAGGAGATTTGCGTATCTCTCAAAAACTTCAACAAAATATATTTATGTGTTTAAATAACACAACTAGATAATGGATTACGCAATTATTACTAATATTTTTTTCTATAAACTTCCAGGTTTTTCCAACTAGCAACAAGAAAACACAAAATACAAAAGGAGGACATCCAGGCCTTACTTCAAAGATTATTGGATTATATAATTATTTACACGTATTCTGTTAAAGTGCCATAAAACAATAAAACAATTTATAAAGTACTACTTTTGTATGCAAAAAAGCAATTCTATCTGTGGATAAATGTGGAGAAAAGAAACTACAGACACACACGCACACATATAAATGAACTTTGATACTCACGAAGAAGATTATGTTTATGACAATGAGAAACACCTTCCCAAATTTTTCACAGCCAGTTAGTCCCATTTTGGTGATCAGAGGGTTGATCTTTATACGAAAGAAAGTAAACATTATTTAACATTGAAAATCAAATGAAATTCCATAAATTCTATATTCTTTGTTAGTAAAATATACTAATGTTACTTATATTCTAAATACTTTGATAAGAAAGAATTTTAATTTATAATGAATATTTTGTACTAGAAGTGTACCTCACCTTTCAAAATTTAGTTTCCTTTCTTCTTGTCTATCTCACTTAAAATTTTATATACATTGTTATCAGAGTATTCTAATGCACGCAATAAATTTATTGTCAAACAATGTAATCTCTATATATCGGGAGTTCATTATTGATCGTCTTTGGCAAAAAAGGAATGTTACCCATAGAAGTAGGGCGTTTTTCCTTATCAGAATCTAGAATTGCTTGAAGGTATCTTTCAGTTATGAAAGATAAACTTTTTGTTAGAATTAGAATTTTTCAGACACACAAACTCGACAAAAATAATAAAAATAACAAGAAGGTCTTCCGCTGAAGAAAGAAGACCTTTAAAAATACAAGTTTGACCGTGAGATCATGACATTTATTAATTGTATCGTAAGTTATATGCTTTTTCATGACTTAATTGAAGCATGTGTGAAGAGGAATTAAGTCGACAGGGCTACCTAACTTTATCCAACTGACAAAGAGTAAAAAAAGAAACGCATTGAGTGAGAAAATATAAATAATTTTCGAACAAACAATATTAAAAAACTCAAAGAATTTATGTTATCTTTCAGAAAGGTTTATTTATTGAAAGTGCTATTATTTTAAATATTGTATTCTTAACTTCCTTAGATTTTAAATACTGATATTTTAAACTTACCATTAAATAATTAAAATAAAATAAGTATATATGGACAGATCTAACAAACTATTAAGTTATACTTCTGATCTTTTGGTTATAATAAATGCACAAAGGTCTCATCGTTGATAAAGAATCTGTTATATACTCCATCAAAATGCAAAATTTTACTAATTAACACAAAAGTGCAAAATTTTATAAAATGAGGTTCATTTATATGTTTTGAGTATATGATTTTTTTGAAGATTGATGTATATACCTGTAGTACGATTGACAGTTTTGCTTACTGACAAATATACCTGCAGTTAGATTGTTAACTGAACTTTACAATAAAAATCTGTTAAGTATATGACACAATATTAATTAAACTTCTACATGTTATTCTGGAATGCATATTAATGGTTTACACATTTTGTATACGTATATAGTACATATTAAATTTTATTCAAACGACGGCTTTTGGGAATGTCTGGGTTGGTTGAAGTTTTGCATATAATTTTTAAAAATTAATCTTTAAAAATCTCAGTGAAAATAAGAAAGTAAGAACAATGTACGGTTTCAATACAAATTTTGCCCTCTATTTTTCTTGAATATGAAAGAGATGTAAGAAAATAAAACTGATGCTTTCTGAATCATTGAAATTACTTGCAGTAAAAAACATACAAATGGTTTTTTTTCATATGATCTCCTTAATGCTAATTGTAACGTTATGAACTTGTGCATTTTCCCCTATTTTCCTAAAAAAGTAGCAGGACATCAAATTTTAGTTGAATTTTTCATAAAACAATATAGAGCACATACATCGCCCACAAGGTTTTTGACAAATGTGATTTTTTTAAAGGATTTTGCAAAATTTCCACATCATATCAAAAAACTGAAGTGGGCGACGGCTGTGGACACTATTTTCTTAAGGAAAATAACCCCAGAAATGAGTTATTTTGAGGCTTTTTCTGTTTAAAACGTAGAAATGTAACACATTGATGGCGTCATATTTCCACTACAGTCTTCCATCATGCCATATTCTTTCATGAAGTATGGGGAGATAACGAAAAGTATTTGTGCTCAAAAATCCATTAAACATTACAAAATAGGAGCAGAGGAAACACGGATCTCTAAGACAACAGAGGTGGATTCAGGTGCCATGGAGCATTCCCTGCCGACCGGTCATACCCGACGTGTGCTTTTTGTCATGATCGGGGAATGACGGAATAATCCGTCGACAATTCAGTGTGTAAATAATGACCTAACAATAAGTATGAAAAAGTCCGTCAGCATTTGACTTGATGATAGATTGTATTTGCTGACGAGGTCATTGTATCGACCAAAGAACTTAAGAAATGATGACTTTAAACGAGACTGCTAATATTTTGTTTCATCAACTTGTTTGTCAATAACTTACATCGTTTCAGAAATAGTTCATACGTAGAGCATGCTCTTGCGTATCGAATCCACTGAGAGATATAAACCCCGTATGCAGGTGATAAGGTATATTGCTGCATAAATAAGGAAAGTTGACGATTGGAGTGTTAGTCAGCACGTTTATCATAAAGCTTGGTTGTTAGATTACAATTAACGTCTTTTTCTAATAAAATATCCAAATATGAAACAGATGTGTCAGACTCTGGTATCTTTTATCCCAAGCTCACCAGGATATATCGTGTCGACATAAGAATGGAAATGACCATTGTTAATTGACAATACGTCGTCGATATATCTAAATGTCGAGTTGAAGGTTACAGCAAGTGTTTTATTCTTTTCACATAGAAGATTTTGAACAAATTCTGCTTCATAGGAATATAAGAATAGATCTACTAATGACGGGGCGCAATTAGCACCTATGGGAATTATATTATATTGCCAGTTGAAGGAACGGGTTCCCTAAATTTTGGCCGTTTTAAATTCAAGGATTTAACCTCATTATGTACTATATTTATATCATTATTAACTATATTTACATCACCAGTATTGACGTCTCCAGTTTATATATGAACACGCGGAAGATCTTGTTTGATATCTTGACACTTTAAAGTTTTTTCTAATTAAAAAGTTTGGAAACAATAGTTGATGTATATCTGTAAAAAATACAGGTTGTGGACTTCAATTTAAAATATGGTGGAATACAAGACTTGATACTTTTGTAGTTAAGAATATTACTAATACTTTCTGTGTCAATTCCTTTATTGGCAAATTGAAGTTTAAGGAGTTTAAGGAACAGAAGGGTTTCTTGAGCAGTATTTTCTTCCGTAAAACGTGGCCTATGATAGGCAATATCAATCATCACGGATCCATGCCTGTATTCTGGTGTCGAAGAATCAAAATGTGTACTTTCATTGACCTGTTCAAATAGAACATTTAGAAATTTCAAAGGGACAGAGTAAACTTTGGTGCGAATATGATGAAGACCTAAGTGTTCCCAATTAAGCAGATATTGGATCGAACGTCCGAGTATCGAATACTAAAAGTTGTACTTGGTTACTCGGTTGTATAATTTTTCTTTTTTCAAAGTACATATATTTATCAAAAACTTACCAAAAATTACTTAAATGTCAGTAGCGTAGAGTAATTAGTGGCCATTCACCTGGTACATAGCTAGTCTCACCTATTGTGGTCCTTTACTTTGAATGGGTTCAATGATTTGCTTTCAATGATCATCGATTAAGTATGGTCTATTATCTTTAAATCATTTTAAAATTATTTAGTAAATATATGGCAGCGAAATTGAATATGCATAGAAATGCTAGTACACACTTCAAAAGTGAAGAAATATTTAGAAATAATGAAAAGATTCAATAAAATATTAAAAGTCAGTTGTGTGGAGTAAGTTTAGAGTTTATTGGGGGAAATAACCAACATATGAAATGATATAAGACTACACTGTAGCGATCCAAACATCGTCCGTTCCTTCTCTTTCGCTAGTCTAACCTTCACAAAACAGACTGTCCTCCTCATGTGTTGATCAAAAAGATCCTAAACAAGGACAATTAACCATTTGCAATTACTGGTGTATAAAATGGTGTCTTTTGTGTTTATTTGATAAATAAATTTAGTACAGGTTTATCATAACAGGGTTCTCCATCATTTCAAATTAAACTGTGGCGCAAGACTTACCGGAAGTGCTAATATTCGAGGTCATTTTGCGACCGAATTGGCGAAGGAACCACTAAATAAAATGAGAAAAACACACAGCCCCTATGAATCAATAGTTTTATACAAAAACGGCATTAATTATCTGACAAAATGCTTGACAAATTAAATAATAAAAACATCTAATCGAAAAAACATAGAGCAAAACAAAAATTAGGATGTTTACAAAATATAATTATCTATACTGTGAAAAAGACCTCCTCCCCAAACACAAACGTACTTATAATTTATAAATTAACAAATATTAACTTAAGAATCTGAGGATAATAGTACCAGTAATAACAAGTTTAAAGCATCTAACCATAATTATTTTTTTTTTACAGAAGGTGAATAATACACCTACAGTGTTCATTAAAGGATAGTAGAAATTCTGGTAGGTCACACAATCACGCTTTCATCTATATATTTGCAATTATTGGTCTGAAGACTGAAGAATCTTAAAACTTGTGAATAAAAAAAAACCTTTAGGATTTTAGAATCATAAAATTATATTCTGTTCGATATATTCAATTGTTAATTTTTCAACATTACACATAAACATTTTTATTAGATACGATGCACGTACAATGTTTTGACTAGCAATATCAATGCAATTTTAGAGACCTGATTATCTGTAGAACTATTAATGCATAAACTGATTTTTAAAATTTCATTTGTAATTATCGTGAAGTGTGAAAAAAAATAGCTTGCCTCTTTATTCATGTGTTCAGCGAGGTCTATAAGATAATTGACTGTGCAAAATAAAACAATGAGTCTCAGTTAAAGTAAATTAACCGTTTGGCATTAGAAATTGGAAAACGGTGGGGATGTCAACGAATAGTCAACTATTCGACTATCAGTCGAATGGACAGACGATCGAATAATGAAAGGACATTCGAATGAATGAAATGAATACAAAACGACGCATTACACGTCTAAGTGCAATAGAAGAGTGAAAACGAGATAAAATTCTCATTTCAAAACTGAGAAACCGTCTTTCCATGTACGTGTAGGAAATACAGTAACTATATAAATGGTTCACTGCGACGAGAATTAATTGTCAATTACTAATCTGTGTTCCTTTTGTAATAAAATATACATAACTTTTCTGGACTTTGTTTGTAAATTAATTAATTGGACATTATTGATCGCATTAGAATGTTGAAGTGCAGATCGAGAACACACGGTAGCCGTGAAAATTTATAACACTTCGGTAATTATTAAAACAATTCGCTTACATTGTAAGGACATTTTGACAGCCAGGGCAATCAACAATTGTAGTAGTATTTAACTGTTTAACAATACCATACGCACAAGCATTGTGGATACTGTGTGTTAAACCCCCCTAACCCCCCCCCCCATTTATTTTTATAAGTTTTAAAAAATGTGCTGTAAATTTTTCAATGGTTCCTAAAAATGATTATGAACGTGATTGACGGGAAAATCATACATTTTGAAGAAAATTATTTCCCACTCTATCCACACGTTGATTGCCTTTGCAACATAAGCATTTTATGATACTTTTCTGTGTAAATATAGTTAAAAAGGTTTTTAAGTCATAAATATGTCATGTACCAGTGACGTTTGAAATAAAATTTAAACATAATTTTGGGAAATGTTCCGAATATTCGACTATCGCTCGAATAATGTTATCGAATAGCCGACTAAGAAAAATAAATATTTTGATATCCCTAGAAAACGGTACAGAATTTAGAGGTTCGTTTGATTTAAAAATTTATTTATTTATCGTACTGACGACGACGATTTTACTGTGTCGCTAATATTTTAACTCTAGTGGAACTTTGGCGCTTTTTTTTTTTAACTGTGGTGTTAAGGAATTAACTGTGGCGGGGCCAACACGTTATATGGCCCATGGAGAACCCTGTCATAAGACCGATGTCGATGACTACGCTTGCTCCTCTGTGTGTTGTTAAACAGTCCCATCACATTCACATTGCTACACTGTGGAAATAAAAGATTCCCAACACTGTCGACATTGTCATTGTTACCAAATGGAAAAGCCGTGCCTAGTTTCCTAATCCGTTATTCTTTTTGTCCACGGAAAGATGTATTAAGTGATTAGTATGGTGGTAATTTTTTTCTAGAATCTTAACTTTGACTAAATAGAATGATCAGGTAAATTAAAGTGCTTGTGTTGAATTGAAAGCCACAACAAGAGACTTTTTCTTTTCATATATTTTTTTAAAAATAAATTTTGCTTCATTTGAATAAAAAAATAGATCTGCTAGATAAGGGGCGCGATTAGCAATTATGGGTATTCAGACAGATTTTTTGGAAGACTTTGTTTCTATAAACTACATGGTAATTGTCAATCAGAAACTCAAGCATCTTTTTAGTTTCAACTTTGGAATATTTTTGTGGACAATCAGAATGTTTTTAACAAAATAAATTTCTAATGACCAGTGACAAGATAATCAGATTTCCGAGTTCCATTTTTATTGAAAAGAAAATCAGCTGTCTATGATGTCAAAAAGCCTGGACTTGAATCCGTTTCTCCATAGATCGTCATTTTCTGAAACAGTACGTCTCTATCATTCAAACACTTCTTGTGCCATTTAGTATGCAGGCACGAACGACTTCCTTTCGACATATTTCCTTCAGCATTTTCAGCGTTTATTGTGAAGTTTTTCCGAGTACAACACATAATTAGTTCTTAAAAGGTTGTTCCGTAACGTACAACAAAGTCATCTTTATTGCCTTTTTCATTGAGGACTACCTTTCTCCTGAAATTAATTTCATTTCAGCGAAGCAAAATCTCAATATATAATTTGGAATATGAAACGATGTTACAACTCATAATTGGAACGAATTGCATTTGTTTTCGTTTTTGCGCCATTTTTACAGAGGATATATATAGCTAAAGATATTATTTAATGTATTGTAAATAACGAAATTTTGACCTGCTCCGCGACCTTATTTTCGCAGTTTTAAATACTGAATACATGTATGTAATTGTCCACGAACTTTAGAGGCAACCATATATTTTGATATCAATTTTGACACTTGCAAGGCGTAAGAGCTCCCAAACAGAAAAAAAACAGCCTATGGGATCATGCTAATGACTCGTGTGTAAATCATGGTTTTGATATGATTTCGGTATAGGAAAATTTCACATGCAAATGAGCTAATGGGTCATGATTCTTGGATGATCTGTTAAACTAAACAACTTGCAAGAAAACCATAGTCCTGGTATGATCTGTTGTAGCTAACAACCCGTATTAAAACCATGGTCCTGGTATGATCTGTTACAGCTAACAACTCGTATTAAAACCATGGTCCTGGTATGATCTGTTGTAGCTAACAACTCGTATTAAAATAACGATCCCGGTATGATCTGTTAAAGCTAACAACTCATAGGACAATTATACATTCTTACACAATTTAACTGAACACTCTAAAATTTGCAACAAACATCCCTTTAATATTTGATATACAATTTGAGTTACCAAAAATAAAAATAAAAATATTATACATATATGTCACATGAACTATATCATCATGTAAATGTAATCCGAACAATGGATCTTCCTTAATCAGATGACAATTTAAAAAAAAAAACAACATTTAATCCAATCTATTCACTGAATTTTAAAAGAATAGAATCACAGAAATCCTTTCTTCTTAAAGAATAATCCGGCATTCAAATTCTGGCCTTAGATAAGCTGCAAACCACTATACACTACAACGTGCTGCCCAGCAGGAGAATTGCATAACAAGGTTACTATGACTCTGAAACTGACCAGTGAGCCAATCCTAATCTAATGCCTTAGAGTAAAATTGGGAGTGGATCACAAATATTATATGAAGACAAAGATTTAAAAAAAAAACAGGCTGTGTTATTTAAACAGTGTGCTAATTTATTTTTTAATTATTGTATTTATTTATTTGTTATTTCATTTGACTTTTTTTAAAAAATATTTTGTGCCTTCAGTGAACTTTGTACCTACCTGTATGAATTTTAATTATTAAAACTTAATTTTCCCGTTCTCTTTTAAATATGGCTATTATTAATGTATGCATGTTTTTTTTTTTATTCTCAAAGATGGAGTGAATTTAAAGCTTGCATTTTCACCTATCATAGATGACAAAGTTAACAAACCATATCAGGATCATACAACCAATTCTGACAAAGTTAACAAAACTCATGATTCTTAACAGAGAAGTTAGCAAATCATATGTAACTCGTATGGATTTTAAAGACAAAGTTAAGAAATCATATCAAAATCACAAACTTTTAGCTGTTAAAGTTAACGAATCATTTCAAACTCATGTTCCTTTGTTTTCTAAGTTAATGGCACATGCCAAAATCGCAAGAAAATCATAGCAGACGCATAGCCAAGAAACAAACCACATCAGGATCATACTTCCTTATTTGTCATCTATGATTTCTGTATGATCCATTTAATGGATCATGTCTAAATCATAGTTCAAAATCATGAATTTGTGAGTTTGATATGATTTTTATGTGATTTTGGCATGATTTGTTAAAAAGAGTTTTTGTTTGGGAGTGTGAAAAACAGGTTTGTAAAAGACACACTCAGACAATGATGTAGCTATACTCTAAAATCTAGGAACACACTTATAGAATGAATGATTGATTGAATGAATGTTGGTTCACGTCCCATTCGAAAACTTTTCATTCATATAGAGACGTCAACATATACTGGTGAAGGGCCTCAAATTTAGACCTTTACTCGGCACTCAGGGCCATTGAGCAGTGAAGGTTCTTTATTGTGCCAACGCCTACAGTGACACAGGACCTCGGTTTTAAGGTTTAATCACAATTTTCACTTCAAAGTGCCGAGCACTTTTCGAAGAAACATTTGCTACCTATTTTCATCGACTTAGGTCAGTCGCGGCCGGGTTTCGAACTCACGACCTTACGATCACGGAGCGAGCATTCTACCTACTGAGCTACCCTTAGGGTTAACATAAAATGAAGGAATCGAGGTGAAAATCGTGTTTGAATAAGATTTTTTAATTAAAGTATAACTATTTTTTAGACGATTACAGCATAATTAGCACTTCTTTCAAATATATTTAATGAAATCTCTTATAATTAGATCTTTTCTGATAAATAATTTTTTTTCCATTCTATTTTTTTTTACGATTCCGTAAAATAATAAAAAAAAATCAAGTATGCAGTTTAATCAAAAGACAGATATATTTCAAACAAATATTTTCTCTTGCTTAATTATTAAAGAACGATTATTCTTTATGAACAAACATATTATAAATAATAATAAAAAAATTCTTACAATATTTTTTATAGTCTTTGTAACCTAAGTATTTCTTCAAAACAAGCCTGGAATTAATATATTTTAAGGTGTATTTGAGTCAAAAGATTCCATTGCTAGCTCTCTGAAAGTTTCCACAAATGGATCACAAGGATTGTTAAAAGTGATGTTCCGCCAGACACAAACTGAAACATTAAAATATTAAACATTTAAAGCAAAATGAACATTTCTGAACTCTTTAATTTTAATCTATTATGGCATTAATGTAGTTGGAGGGGAGTTGTAAAAGATACAGAAAAAAAACATTTCAACTAGTTGTTGATTGGATTTTTTTTTCAATGACTCATATTATTTTAGATAATGAATAAACTCTAAAATATTACTTCAAAAATAGTTGCAATAATTTCGTATTTATACACGTCGTCTTTTGCTTCCTTTGAGGATGGAATGTGTGAGTTGTTCGTCCAAAGAGATGCACATCCCTGTAAATTTTAAATAGAATTTTCGGAACGACTTGACTTTATCGGTCCCTAGAAAAACGCGCTTAAATAAAGTGTCGCCGTAGGCGACTTCGTTATGAGATCGCGTGAGCAATCGAAAGAAATAAAACATGTGAGGTTTTAAGACTTTCTGAGCCCAAAATCGAATTCTATGGCTAAATATTTAGTTTAAAACTTCGTTTTTAAACGAAGGTTTTAACCTCATTCTCTGGAAAAAAGCAATAAATATTGTATATTCAGTGAAAAGAGACAAAAAATAAATGTAAACAAAACGCGTGCGGGGCATGCTTAGTGCCGTTTCTTTCGTACTTAGACATTTTTTTTTAATGTAAACAAACCAACGAGATGTCGTTGAAGCTGAATTAAGATCTTGCAAAAAATACAGAGGCAACTGAATTTCTTTATTAATCTAAAAGAACCAGACAGTAACCCTAATCTCTCGGATGGTATGCGAGGACTAACCCAAATCTCCCGAGCAGATGCTAGACTAACTATGTGCGAGGACTAACCCTAGTCTCTCGGATGGATGCTAGACTAACCCTAATCAGTCGAAAACTTGTACAAGGACTAACCCTAATCTTTCAGGTGGGTGCAAGACTAACCCTAACCAGTCATAAAATGTGCAAGACTAACCCTTATCGATTGAGTGACGTAAATTTTACGTCATAGTGCAAAGAGCGCGCGGATCTTGCTGATCTGGGGACCGGTATAGTAAAGTCTATCCGAATTTTCGATAATTGTACTAGAAAGTAGAATATTAGTACTTTTTATGTATGTATTTTTCTGCCAAGAGGCAATCACAAGTAAGTTCAGTTTGCTTAAATGTGTGTATGGTTTTTTTTAAATTAAAAAAAAAAAAGAAATTACAAGTCTTAAATGCACCAATGTTTGGTCATTACCTCCTCGTGATACGTCCCTGGAATCACATTGGCATGACATCTAGCTTCAGCTGAAGTGTAGTTATCTACGGTAACATTTTTACAGCAGGCCTTTGGAATCTGTGAGTTTGTTTGCTGACACGATCCTGAAGTCGTACACCACGGAGTCTTATCAAAATCATTTGTTGTACTTGTCACTGGTTTTACTGCGCAACATTTATTCTAAAATAAAAGTTTGGATTGCACTCGTTCCTATGTTTTCGTTCATTGACAAAATATTTTTAAAAAACAGAGAGAGAGAGAGAGAGAGAGAGAGAGAGAGAGAGAGAGAGCTTACCTCGAGAAAAAACAAGTTCCATCTGTCCGATGTAGTGTTCCGGAGTGGGGAAATAATGTCACTTGTGTACAGGGTCTCCAGCTTTTCCAACATATCAGTCTCGTTTAACTATCAAATGCATATTGCTGCTAATAATTAGTCTGCTCATGATAAATCAAATAATTATTTTCTTCTTTATTATAATATTCATTTTTTGTCAATCATTCATCTGAATTTACTAATAACCATAGCTTTTAGAAAAAAAATCAAATCATCTAAATGTTGCTACATGTACTTAATGAAGTAACTAATGGTCCTGGACATAAAGTTATTATGTGCTTATACGGGATTTTGTAGACAAAGAAATGTTGTTTATAATTGGAATTAGAATTTGTCAGTTAATCTTTGTCTTCAAACCAATTTTTTGTGGTTTGAAGCTGTTGTTGGCTATATGGTTATATTGCATTCACAATGATGGCAGATATGAATTTAAAATTCAGTTGCAACATTTTCATCCGAACTAGTTATCATTGATCTTGATTTTTGACACAAACGCGTGACCTATTACCGATTGTTCAGTGCTTTTGAATCCCCATCGGAATTTTTTTTTTTTTTTTTTTTTTTTTTTTTTAGATATTACTTATCAGTGACAAATAAATGAGGACATACTCTTTATTATGAGACTCAAGACAGACAGATAAAGACAGTATAGACGGACAATAAAGACAGACTCTTTATTATGAAATTGATGGTTGAATATGCTTGTCAAACGTGAATATATCTCATATATGAGACGTCATACTGGATAATTTTCTTTTATATTGAATTTCTACTACCTATATCAATGTACTATAAAAGATGCACTAAGGCACGACAAATGATTAAAAACGAAAAATCTGCTGAAATAAACGACCAAAACCCTAATGAAATATTCAAGCAGAACAAAATAAAAATAAAAGTTTAAGGGAAATCAATTATTATCACTGACATAAAGTAAACTGTTCTAAAGAACTCATGTGTAACCTTCAAGAGTAGCAAAAAGGGTGTTTATAATGCCTAGTGTGGTCACTTTCTAAAAATATTTTCATACCAGTACTATTTTTATGTTCCCCTCCTAAGCAGTATACTTTTCTTTCAGTACATAATATATATTTCAAACAAAATGCACTTTACATGAGAAATTCATTGTTCAATAGAGAATATTACATACTAAAATCCATATAATATGTCAAATCAGCCCGAGGGCCGAAGTCTTTTATATTCTATTTATCATATATTTAAAATACTTAATATGCGAGTTCACATTGAAGAATGTTTCGTGCATGTTTATGACCTTTTTCTTTAAAATCTAATAAAGCAAATTTTATTTCTTTGAAAACAAATTAAGTCCACAGATGTTAGTCAAGAATCATTTTACATGTATATTTAAATAAAATCAAGTTAATTAACTTTTAAACTTTAAATAAACGTTACTTCCGGTTTGTTATGGATTTTTGCCCGGTCCGATACGTGATATGGATTTTCAGACCGGTCGTTGATATGGGGTATTGTGACGTCACCCGTGTCGCACAGTGCAGAATCGGTGTATTTACTTCAAAGTATATGATAAGACCTTTTATTACATTTTTAAATATTTCTTCAAAAATCCTTTTACTCAGTCTCATATGTATCTTATTTCTGTTTACGGTAAGAAAAATGAAACTTCATTAAGCTTTACAGTTCAATTACAAACTCAGAGCATGGCTAACATGGCCCCTTGAAAACATGATTCTTAGGATCAAGTGAGTGATGGGTTAGCATCTCCTGTTGATTGCCAATACCTGTCCCGTAATTTTCTCTAAAGTTTCAAAGGAGAAATCCGTAGACAAAAGAAAAAAAATGGCCTGACAATTTGTATCAAAATTGATGATCAGCATTCGAACTGAAGGGTTAAGACCGTTGTATTTACAAAGAGTTGTTGTAACGACCATAGAATTTGCGAAACGGTAACTCTAACGAGGCCCTTTATACGCTTGTAATGTCCACTTACTTGGCCGTAATCTATATCCGTTTAAAAATTGAGCGTCACTTTAACATTCAAATATGTTTGATTGATTGATTGAATGTTGTTTTACGTCCCGTTCGAGAATTTTTCACTCATATATAGACGTCATCATATACCGACGAAGAAGCTTCAAATTTAGACCTTTACTAGGCGCTAAGCGTCATTGAGCAGTGAAGGTTCTTTATCGTGCCAACGCCTGTCGTGACACGGGGCCTCCGTTTTTAAGGTCTCGTCTAAAAGACCTACAACTTTCACTTCAACGAGTGGGGCGCTTGGCGAAGGAACAGTTGCTACTTATTTTTTTACCTATTTTTTATCGACTTAGGTAAGTCGCGGCCATGATTCGAACACACAACCTTCCGATCACGGAGAACATTAAAATACGAATGAAGCACATGTCTGTTTATGATTTTGTATTTCCAGTTAAGTGGACACCCACTCATCGTATGAATAAAATTGAATATAAATATGGATAAGTATGTAAATGTAAATAGGAGTCAGATTATCATTTGCAAGATTGGAACAATACATCGAATAATGATTGCAAAATAACACTGTCGACCCTGCAGATAAGTGTAAATTTCATAAAAATGTATTCAACAACCCAGGCCGGAATATCGATTCCAATTTAGTTTTTGAATTAAAGCGTCTATATTTAAGTGTTTTAGGAAATCCTTAACAGAACACTTAATTAGAAATTATATATATATATATATATATATATATATATATATATATATATATATATATATATATATATATATATATATATATATATATATATATATATATATATATATATATGGAAATAAATAACGAACAGTTCTGATTTCATTCCAGGCTGCAACGATTTTTTTTAAAGAAACCTTTATTAAAAATTTTCAGGCCTATCCAATATGTGTATTTTTCAAGTCTTTCAATCCGCTTACGCATTTTCTATGCACATTACCATGATTATTTAAAGCTTACACTTCAAGAAAACTTTCTTGATAGAATTGGCCAAACTTGATTTAAACAATGAAAAAGAACATGCTTATGAAGGAATGACGAGAGGTCAAGGAAAAAAAGCTTTGCGTGGAAAAATGAAAGAACATTGCAGCTACCATCATCAAGGTATGGTAGAATATGCAATGCTACGGAGCGCACCGATATTAAAATGGACATTTGGAACATGGCTTTGTTTATTTGTTTAACTTCCCTTAGAGCAATTTTAACTCATATTGAAACGCCATCACTTGCCGGTGGAGGGCTGCGAATTTAGACCTGTCCTCGGCACTTTCGGCATTTGAGCGGTGAGTGATCTTTTTTGTACCAGCACCTACTGCGACATGGGACATGGGACCTTGATTTATACAGTCTAATCCAAAATAACAGTGTCCAGCAGTGCTGGAATATGGTAGAGGAAATGAGAGCAATGCTTTGCAAAGATACATAGAAGACACTACTCTCAAACTCACTTAGCTTTGTCCGCAGTTGGGGTTGTTTTAAGTTATTAAATATTGTTGAACTTGAGTGTCCTTATACATCTAAAGGTAAAGCATTAATTCGCTTTATTTAAACTACCACCGGAACCCATTCAGGGACGGGTAAAATGGCGCCACCTTGAATGGACCGATAACACACTTTGTCATTTAAGGTCACAATCTTTTGATAAGCAATACACAAGCAAATTTCAAATCTATATATTCTACATTTCCAATTACAAAGGACTGAAGGTCAGACGGGCAGTTGAATGAGTCCAAGGCAATGTGATTCCTGGTTTGTAGGTGATCCACAAATGTTGCTTTATAATCGAAATATTGAAAATTTATCTTAATATCTAACCTTCACTTGTGTCAAATCAGCCTCACGTCCAATATTATGTGTATAAACAGCTTTTGGTACCCCGAGAATTAAACTTATACCTCCTGTCTGTAACAAAAGTCATAAAAGCATTAAACAATTGACTGTTATCATTAGTCGGATCACGTCAGTAACATTTATTTTTGAAATCTTGTTACAACAAAGGTTTATTCTTCATATCAATATCTTCTCATACGTATTATTAAATAATATCCTTTCAAAATATAATCATAAAACTTATGGTATGCTATGTGAACTCTTACATTTTAAAATTCTTCAACCAAAAAAGTAAAAAAAAAACATAAAAAAGTTTGTTCTCCCTTCTTTCAAGCAATTTATATGAAAAAATATTGAATTAATAATACCATTAATAATATAAAAATAAGGAGCGAGACTCAAAATACACTAGTACTATTTATGTTTCCTTTGTCAATGAAACGCAACAGAACAAACTGGTATCCACACTACTTAGTGATTCTGATAAAAAACAAGACCTACGCGACTTTACTGTTCTGCAGGAGAAAAGTTTTAAATGACAAGGGGAAGATAAAGAACAGTGATCGATTTCATAAAAGCTACAAACAAAACAAATGTGTGAGCAGGGCATAACGGAGGAGTAAGCGTCCCCTGTCGACCGGTCACATCCACCGTGATTTGGTAGACGGAACATTCCGTTGTTAAATTTAGTTTTACAAACAACGGCCTTACAATTGGTAAGAAATATGTCAGTCAAAACGTCTCGGCCAAATGATACGATGTATTTGTAAATTCTTTATTACGACAAAAGAATGAAAGATAATTCTGACATTGATCTACACTAATGATATCTTTGAAAACTGAAATTGTTGAAAGTGATCACTATGTTTCTTAAGTGTTAAATTTGAAGACTTTAATTTGCTAAAGTCATCACTATAATTTGACACTATTCTTACAATTTGAAAACTCTGTATTACTTTATTGATAATTTAAAACCTTGATAGCTTTATTTTTAATTCAAATGTACACGTTTTAAAACCATCCTATACAAACATTAAAATTCTAAGTTATAAATGTTGCAGACAAAGTGCAATGATGCTATTATACCCCATCAACAGATATCTTTGGTAAAAAGAAAATCTGCCAAACTGGATAATGTATGAAATATGAAATTAAATTAGACTTTTATTAATGACAGGAATGTATTAATGTGACAGCTTTGATACCACAGTGAAAACTTTGATTTACTATAGAGATAACTTTTAAACTTTGATTTAATATAGTTTACAATCAATTAAATAACTATAATTTACTAAAGTATTTTTTTGTTAGGGTGCCTAAAACATGGGCCAATGGTGGAATAAATAATAATCTCCAATATCTACATGTAGTGATGTTTAAGATGCTTATTGTAATGTAAGATTAGAAACATTGCCTTGCCTTTCTTGAAAATGAATTTCATACATATCCCTATATAAAAAATGTTCTTTAATCTTTTTTGTGGTTTCGCTACATGCCTGGGCCATTACTTGCACAATTCTGAATCTGTACGTTTTCTGTATTAGTATGAGAAACCAGCCTTGTTCTTCTTTTGATGATGTTTTGAGATAATTTCTCTTGTTTAGTTTCGTGTTAAACTTTGATCCATTATTGTGGCCGCACCCTACCTCCTGGAGCAATGATTAGAACATATTTAATTCAGCAAAAACATACGATGTTAGCATAATGATAATAAGATGAATTTGATATCATTGACAGCTGCTTTTTCAATAAAAATGGAACTCGTAAATTTATTTACCTTGTCATTGGTCATTTGCAAAATTATTTTGTTAAAATACATTCTGATTGTACACACAAGTGCTCTAAAGTTGACCTTAAAAAGATGCTTGAGTTTCTGATTGACAATATCTATGTGGTTTTTGGAGACCAGGTCTTTCAACAATCTACTGGAATTCCGATGGGTACCAATTGCACCCCGTTATTAGCAGACCATTTTGTATCTATATGAAGGAGAATTTGTCCAAAATCTTATACGTGAAAAGAAGAAAACACTTGCTGTGGCCTTCAACTCGACATTCAGATATATCGACGACGCATTTGTTAATTAGCAATGGTTATTTCTACTCTTGTCGAAACGATATATCCCAATGAGCTTGAGATAAAAGATACCACAGATTCTGACACATCTGTTTCATATTTGGATATTTTACTTGAAAAAGATGTTAATGGTAATCTAACAACCAAGCTTTATGATAAACGTGATGACTTTAACTTTTCAATTGTCAACTTCCCTTACTTATGCAGCAATATACATTCATCACCTGTATAAGAATGACCATAGCCTTAATGTTCTTGACACAAAGTTATTTTTAAATAGTTTTACTTGTAAAATTCCTAAATAAAATTTACTTTCTTTTTGTAGCCCCACGCTTCCATCTTAGGCCATAAACATAACAAAATTTAATAAACACTGACTTAGAATGTATGCATATTAATATGAAAAAAAAAAACATGACCTTGGTGTTCTTGAGAAGAGATAGGTAGAATGTTTTCTGAGACATTTCCGTAAAAATATGTATCCACTGATGTTACTTTATCCCAGAATTTGAACTAATCTTATGGTCTACTATGTCATGAAGCTTTTACACGAGTTTTATCTATTCCGATCCATTACTTTCTTAAAACACCTCTCTTCGGTGAGAGTGCTTCTGGCAGATTAGTTGATGTTACAGGGATTTCAACAATCTCGTTTAAAGTCGGCATTTCGTTAATTTTGTGGTCGTTATAATAATCTTTTTAGCAAATAGAACCTATCATTAAGTCGTGTTTTGGCAAGAGTGTTTCATACTTATTCTTGAGCTTTTGTTTTGATACTGAATTTGACTACGGAATGTTCCGTTTACTGATCAATACATAGGGCTCACGGCGGATGTGACCGGTCATCAGGGGATGCTTATTTCATCTAGACACTTGATCCCACCTTTGGAATTTCCAGAGGTCCATGTTTTGTGCCCTCCTCAGATATTTGTAAAGTTTATAGATTTTTTTTAGATTGATCACTATTCGTTATCTTGAACTTTTCATTTTCTTTGAACAAACTGTATTTTCTAAAACCAAAGAATACTCTGGAACAATTTAATTACAAATGTCTAATTATTCTTGAGAAAAAGTCAAAAATAAGTTAACAGACAGACGAACGAACGACAACAGCCTTTAATTCAGTTACTGTAGTACTTTAAATGATAAAACAGACTTACGATGCCAATCATTATTACAAGGGCTAATTGGATATTTTGAGCCTTGTATTTCACTAAGCAAATCGTCATCACAACAAAAGTGACTATAACAGCTATACTGTTACAGATCGAGAATCCTCCAGTAATTATAATTGCTTTCAACGTATTTTTCTTTTCTGTAAATGAAAGCTGTACACCCAATCCTTGGTATTTCTTTCGAAGGTCTGATATTGGATCTTCGAGTTCTTCTACATTCAAACATTTGTTGATCGTCAGTCCATCCAGAACCTGATAAAAATTTTCTTTTCTGAGAGACTAAAAATTATATTTACCATCTTGAAATTACAGTACAATCTAAAAGGTATAAAAATAATCAATGATATTTAATACTTGTATGATTAACTTAAAAAAATTCAAAATATTACTTTTAATATGAATTCAACTTTTCAAATTGTTGTATGTGAAAGGTTAAATTTCCCTGTGCAATATAATTTAATTCTGGTTAAAACGCGGTATTTAATTAAATGAAAAATGTACTTTATATTGTTTAAATTGAGTTGCCTACGTCTCAATGACTTGTGCCAAAAACGTATTGATCCGCCTGACGTTACATTTATGTTTTGTACAATTTTAAGCCAATTTTGAGGAAAAATCAACTTTTTTTCTTACACTGAATGAATGAAAATTAGATTATTAGGAATGAAATTAATAGCTACGCAATTCATACGGTATAAACTGGGTTGGAAATTTACTTTATAAACCGCTTTGCGGTTTATAAAGCGTATACTACCCCAACCCAGTAAATACCGTATAAATTGGGTAGGTATTAAATTCATTCCTTAAATAAAAGTTTGAACTTTTCTTCTTTTTCAAATAAGACTTCCTTTATTTAATTTATGAATTTACTGTAAAACAATGTTATTAAATGAAGAAGTGTTTGGAGGCATTTGACCCAATATCTTGAAACAATTAAGAAATTGTTATATTATCATGATTATCACTTACCAGCAATAGGATATTCATACAAGTATTCATCATCATAATACCAATCGTCACCTTAAACTGAAACATATTTCAATGATTTTTTTTATAGATATGCATATCAATATTTTGAGATATTGTTGAACAGCAATTCATTTCATTTCATTTACATATCAATTCATTTCATTTTTAAAGAAATAATTCGTCAGTGTTTTTGTTTATTTAATCATCATGTAAACCTATTGCAAAACAATTTTACAGTTTTGTTGATGCTTTATAAATAGAAAATACACGGTGTAAAATTTATTCTTTCTTCAAATAGCAAAAATTAGATGAAATCAGAATAAAATTCTTTCATTCATATCATTCCTTTCTTCATTCCTTTCTTCCACCCCTTAACAAAGTTCAATTCACAAAAAAAAAGGAAAGGAAAAGTAAACACGGAGTACATACATACATACATACATACATACATACATATATATATATATATATATATATATATATATATATATATATATATATATATATATATATATATATATATATATATATATATATATATATATATATATATATATATATATATATATATATATATATATATATATATATATATATATATTTATATATTTATATATTTATATATATATAGAAAGATAGATAGATAGATAGATAGAAACTGCTCGGAGTGGTAAGTTACTGTACAGAGAAAGACTCAACCGCTAAGTCGTAAATAGCCAAAAACACTTGCATATTGATGATGACAGATTTGACAACACATTTTGTAATACCACTTGATGCACGCGAGATATACGCTTATTTTGTCAATAATTACAAACAAGTTGCAATCTTTGTAGGATGAGGGGAGTTCCATAGAGTCTGGCTATTGCAATGCCTAAGTAAAGAAATAGGCAACAAAATGTTGTCGTGCAGTTTGTAAATTACTTTTCTCCTTATCCTGCCAGCTGCGTAATTGCCACTTCATTAACACTAGAACAGTTTTAATACAATACTAGCACAAGTGAATCATATTCGTTATATTCACCAAAACCTGGAAGAATCCGGTTTTGTAAGCTCTTCAACTTTTCGTTTGTGCTTCTCTCACATGTGCCCGTGTGCGTCATACATGTATGCATAAATTTTCCATCATATGTGAACGGTCCAACGGAGTTTGTCAAGACTCTCTCGCAAACAATCAAATTAACCCACTCGACTGGCTTCCGTAAAATCCACCCTTTTCTCCAAACTCCAAAACAAACATCTGTGGGACTAACTAGACGGTAGAGTATGAATACGTCGAAATGCTAAAGCTTCCCTCGACAATAAGGGCTGTCATTTCCTAAGGGTTGAATAATATTCCCATGAGAAAGATAACTGTACTGATGAGCTCTTTGCAGATGATAATCAAGGATGTGACAGATGCGCGCTGCAGGCATTGGATTTTATGGGAATTTTAGGGTTACCGTCAATTGAGATTCAATAATTCTTGAATTATTCAGTTAAAATCAAATAAGATTTGGTTACCGATGTGTTTAAATATAAGATATCAATTCTGAAAAATACATTCGGAAAAAATAACATTAAATCACCTCAAAAAATTACCCTGCGTTTCTTTTTTTCAGTATATTAAGATATGCAGTAATAAAACATGGACATTCCTCCGTGGCCATAACACCTTTGTAAAGTACTTATGTCATATAAAGATAGGAAGCAATAACCTTTTTCTTATCAGAAGAATATTATGTAACAAGTAAAAATGTGAAAAGAATATCTTGTATTGCACCCATATAGCTAAATAAATCTTAGTTGTTAATTATAAATATGGTATTCTACCTTGATTTACAAAGTTTACATGTTAATCCGTATGAATTTGTTCACTTAGAAACACCGAACTTTGAAATGCAATGAGGGAGGGGGGGGGGGGGGACTAAATCTTTTAATAATATTCCCTGGGTAATTGATCATTCATTAAAAAATAGGTAAAAGTTTTACAGTATTGATTATATATTGAAAAAAAAAAATAAAAATAAGAGTTGGAATGTTCAATGTAACTTTTTATTTCATTTTCAACAGTGAAATAGGTTATTTATTTATCAAATTAAAGGGATATTCTGTCACAGTGTGAAAGAATATCAAAATGATATTCTGTCAAAGTAAGACAGAATAACATAAACGTTTGAAATTCCTTTCCTTCAAAAAATGTTGAAAATATCTTGAACGATAGAGACGGAGACTACCAAACTTTTTCCTAACATGTTGTTGAAATTGTTTTACGTCTCAGTCAATCAACTTTGACGTCAAAATGTAGGACACTGTGTTACAATAAGTCAGACAAAGAGAAAATCAAAGAAAATGTAATAAAAAGAAATTCAATTTTTTAAAGTTGGATATGGAATTTAATTCACTCGTGAGACAAGATAATTAGATATTTTCATTCGTTCTTCGCACTCTTGAAAATATCAAAATATCCTGTCCCACTCGTAAAATAAATTCCATATCCAACAACAAAACATTGAACACCCTCTGTTTACATGTCTTAGATCAAATCTTAGTGTTTACGATTACCAATATTTTATTTCAGCCACACTACAAAAGCTTTATATTTAAAAATACTTCTATTTGAATTTTGCCATGTCAAAGTGATTGTAAATAGGCATAACAATGGCGAATTGAAGATATAAGGTTATTCCTGAAAAGACTTTATAAAATATTATGTCCATAGATAATTCTTAAAACAAACTGTAATTAGTGTTTATAAGACTAAGTACAATCCAATCACTTCATATGACCATATTTTTGTGATAAATGTTCTTCTTTTGACATAAATCTAAAACCAATAAAAAAATATGTGAACGGTGATTTCCTTTTCTTCCCATATATAATCATATAATTTTAAATCTATCATGAAGATACAACTTTACTATGATAGGACGGATAACTTGATTAAAGAGTATTACCTTGAGAAACATCTTGCTTATTTTAACGATGGTGTTGCCGAGACTTTGATGTATTTACTTTTTAGTTGTCTTTTCTGTTAAACCTATAGAAAACAAAAACAAATAATTAAAAAAAAACATACATGGCCTGCCTCCATGATAAGATGGCCGCATTATCAAACCGGACTGGTCCACTATTAATTGTAATCATGAGTGGCCAGGATATAATGATAATGAAATATTTAGAACATTATCCTTCAATCCCCTATAGTTTTTCATTTATAAACTAGATGTGTCGTAAAGCCACGAATGCCACTACAGGCAGCCAAAATTTCAAATTTCAAATTGTAAATTGCACATTTGTAGCCGAGATAATGATAAGAAATTGTGAATTTTAAAATCTTTTCCAAGTTTAAGTGGGGTATCTGTAAAAAATAATCGGACTAGGACAAAATCCAAACTTTACCTTTATTTTTGGTAAAATACCTGCACATGCAATTTCAACCTTATACATCTATCCCTACAAAAGTTAGAGCGCGGAACCTGAAAATTTCCTATTTTATTCTAAGTTCAAGAGGGATATTTCTGTCAAAATCATTGGACCATGACTAAATTTCAACTTGACCCGCGTATTCCTATGACGTATCGATATGTCAAATTTGAGTTGAATGAGTGCAACTGTTGCCAAAATAATGAACGGAAAGTAAAGTGAAATATGAAGATAACGAACAGTATTCAATCTCGAAAGTCCAATGAAAGGATACGAATTTGGAGCAGAGCAAACACGGACCTCAAAAATTTAGAGGTGGGATCAGGTGCCATGGAATAGTGAGCATCCCCTGCGGAAATATCCGTAGACAGTTCAGTATATAAATAATGGACTAACAATCAGTATGAAAAAAGTCAGTCAGCATTTCACTCAAAGACAGGTTGTATGTGCTGACAAGGCCATTGTATCGACCGAAAAGCCTTCGAAAAGATGATGTCAAACGAGACTGTTGATATCCTTGTTTCGTCTACTTTCTTGTCAATAGCTTGCCTTGTTTAAGAAATTGTTCATACGTAGAGTATGCCCTTGCGTATCAAATCAACTGAGAGACATGTACTCCATACGCAGGTGATAAGGGTACATTGCTGCATAAGTAAGGGAAGTTGACGATTGAAAAGTTGAAGTTATCCCGTTTATCAAAAAGCATTGTTGTTAGGTTACCATTAACGTCTTTTTCTACTAAAATATCTAAAAATGAAACAGATGTGTTAGAATCTGTGGATCTTTTATTTCAAGTTCATTGGGATATATCGAGTCGACAAGTGAATGAAAGTAACTATTGTTAATTGATAATATGTCGTTGATATATCGAAATGTTGGGTTGAATCCCACAACAAGTGTTTTCTTCTTCTCATGTAGAAGTTTTTGAATAAATTCTGCTTCATATGAATACAAAAAAAGTCTGCTAATAAGGGGGCGCAATTGGTACCCATGGAAATTCCAACAGATTGTTGGAAGACCTGATCTCCAAAAACTACATAGATATTGTCAATCAGAAACTCAAGCATCTTTTTAATATCATCTTCAGAGTACTTATATGTACAATCAGAGTGCTTTTTAACAAAGTAATTTTGTAAATGACCAATGACAAGGTAAGAATATTTACGAGTTTATGACGGATGACGGACTGACAGAATGAGGGAATGACGGAACAGGGTAACACTATGTGCCCCCGGTCATTTTATGGCGGGGGCAGAAAAAATAACTTTACCCCAACTTCGAGCCTGGATCTTAATCAAATAGAACATGACACAGAAGCTGGTAAATATTTGACTATCAATAAAGGTAAACAGTTTTTGTCAGATTTCAATAAGTACAAGTACAATGAATATTCACCTACATACCTCCTTTTCATTTCTATTATTAATTAAGTGACCTAAAATATTTCATAAAATCTGTGTGGCTTACCTTTTGCAACTTCATTGAAAATATTTTTTGCTGATATTGTCTGTCCTATTCAGGATACCAGTATATAACGTTAATAGAAAATTTACACCTATACGAAATTAAGTTGTTTTTGGATTACTATAGTATCCTGTTCTAACCCTATGAAAAGCTTCCTTGGTTACTATCACACTACAAGAAAACACAACAGATGTGCCCGATATCTAATAATTAGGTCAGATCTTTTTTTATAAAATGATTCCAGGAACGAGTGTCTTTTTCAGTCTTAAAATGATAACACGATAAAGATAAGGCCTCTATATATTGCAAACAGGAGATTCAACAAATATAAAACTGTGTGGCTTCCTGTACACCTCTTCCATCCATGCGAGTGGCTTAAATTCTTCTCATAGGGTTTAATAAACGATGAAAAATACTACAGATACTAAACAGAAGGTATAGGTTAATGCCGGGCTCGAACATTTCTTTGAACGTTCTTAAGTTCTAGCTAAGTCGTTTATAAATGGTCTATGGGGGAGCATTGGGTTAAATAATTAGAAAGCTAGTTGGCTACTTGTTGATTTAGTGACTGCTCTTAGCTGGACTACCCATAAGTTTATAGAATAATGCAAATCCCAATCAAGTTTTACACAGGAACAGCATAGCTAGGAAATTGGATTGATTTGCTTTACAACAACTAGATAGAAAATAAACATATCTATTTGATAATTACGAGGGATTATCAAAAAGCTCTTGGACTGGTGCGATAAAATCAAAAATGCGTATGCCATGCTTGGAAAAATATAGGTTAGTTAAAAATTGTATCTAAAATTCAAATCAAATTAAATTAAATAAATTCATCCTCAAATACAAATGACATAATTTTGTCATTGCTCTGTATGTCCGCTTTTCTGCCTCTTTATATGATATTCTGCAGTATTTCCATTACTATACCTTGTTTAGAAACGCCACAAATTGTATTCATATATGGAATATGTAAAGTATATGGATTTATTTTGACAGGAACAAAGCCTTTTGCTGTATAGTTTATTTCTTATAAATGAAGGTATATTATATGTATAAAATGATGATTAATGATCTTAAAATCTTTTGCATGGATTTCCATACATTTTATTTTTAGTGGTATTTATAGAAAATTCAATTTGTTTATTGCAATATAATAGAAAAAATAAGAATAATATGTAAGTAAAAAATCTTTGATTTGTCAAAGGCAAGCACCCTTTTGAATATAGATAATCCCTTTTCGATGAAATAGGAAGATAACGTACAGTAATCAATCTCAAAAGTCCATTGAAACAGCACAAAGTTGGAGCAGAGCAAATTCGAACCTTTAAGAAACATCAGAGGTGGGAACGGTTCAATGGAGGAGTAAGAATCTCCTGTCGACCCGTCACATCCATCGTGTGCTCATTGTCATGATCGGGCAAACGGAAAAGTCCGTAAACAATTCAGGGTTTAAAAAATGTCCTAACAATTAGTATAAAAAACGTCAGTCAGCATTTGACTTTATGACAGATTGTATTTGCTGACAAAGTCATTCCATCGACCATAGAACTTGCTAGTTAACAGTAAAAGACCAACGGGTATATTCAACTATAGAACTTTTGTTTTCCGTGAATAGAAGCCATCTACTATAATGAACATCACACGAATCTGATTAAAATCAGATTCTCTGATTCGCTCACATTGATTGCTACGCAAGGATCTGAAAAATCCCCATTCAGGGTCATCTCCCGGTGACCTTTCAATTATCCAATCAAACTTTTGCTTGTAGGAATTTAGAAGTATCTCGGAATTCAGTTACAGAAGTGAAAGTCCCGATAATACACGAACGGAAAATCGTGACCTGGATTCCGTAGCCTGTCAAAAGAACGACCACAGTCTTTCCTGTACAGAAATATATTAAGTACTTGCTTTTGCCTTGATTTTTAGCTCTTTGTTTTGTTCGAAACGGTAAGATCATCTCCACAGCTACTTTCAGTTCTACATTTTTTTCCCGAATGTCGCGTAAGTACGATCTCTCTGATTGGTCAAAATATTTTATGAATATTTTTATTAGAAAGTTCACCAGGAGACAATTTTAAACAATTAAAAGAAAGTTGCAATTAGTGGTGCATTATTAGAAACATTGATAAATTTGGAATACTAAAAGGATGGAGAGAAGGAAAATCATCAAGTAATACGAAATATGTTATCTGATCTACTAATCCATATGCTTCATAATCAAAAAAGCATACTGCAAAAAATGGTGGAGGCAGTCGAACGTTGAATGAAATGTATAATACCAAAATTTTCTTCTCATACAAAAGGGGGTAGGGTTTAGCCTGATCCGTACTACATGTACCTTCGTGCTTGTAGTTCAATATATGTTCTTCATTCATATCCTTTATTTAGTTCTCGAATCAGCAGCTTTTCATTAAAACGTCTTAGATTTGAAAAATCCCAATTAAACCAAACAAATGCTTTTCTTAAATATTTTGATATGTCACTTTGTTAAAAAGAAGTTCAAATGTTGTTAAATCGAACCAAATGTATGAGAAACACACATAATATCAACTGTAATACATGTGTCAACCAAATGTCAATTTGTTTACCTGCCAAAAGGAAATATGTGAAACTAACGAACTGTAAACAGTAAAAAGCGTGAACAAAACTCGGACATAGAGTTTTCTATTTCTCTTATAGGTTTTCTTGACAATCAATTTTCTAATTTGTTTGTTTTAAAAGAATATAAAAACAAAACATACGTTAATAAATTTGAAAAATACATGGTTCGAAATTATGCATGAATGTTTTGTTTGAGTTGTAAAATCTAATCTATCTGATTTTTTCCACTTCCTATTTGCTGTAACAATTTAAATCTTAAATTTGTACTTCACAACAGTTAGTTTTATTATGAAGAGTAAAAAACTGGGGGCATGATAGAGCATTTACAAGGCTCTTAAGCTTTAGTTTATCTTTGTATGGATATTTACGATGTTTTTGAAGTAATGTAAACAAAATTTACTTTTGTTGACTGGAATTTAAAAAAAATAAATTTTCGCATACGAATGAACATATGTCTTACATAATGTAGTTTAAAATATAGTTAACACCTACCTTTCCTTGATATCAACCTCCTTGCTGTTAAAATGTTTAACAATGATTATAAG